AAGAGTGCTACCTGCTGAAACCTCCTGAAATAATGTAGTTTGTGACATGGTTGTAGGAAGTTGTAATCCTTTCTGCAAAACGAGATCCACTTTTTAACATGATCAAAATTCAACAAAATAAAACAATAAACATAAAATTACCCCACAAAAGAAGAATTTAAGTAAAGAAGAATTGAACCTGGAATTCTACTACTGTCAATTTATTGTTCCTGGCATATAGTAAGGGCTCAAAAAATGTTTGCTGAATGAATTCTAATAGTACTATTCATAAGTTGTCTGAAAAATCCTACAGTCACCTTATTTAGAACCAAAGCAAGCAGGCTTGTATCTTCTTAACATACATAATACTATTAACCGAATCTTCTCCAACTCACACAATACTCTGTCTTTTTAAACTAGACTGGGAGTTCTTTGAAAGTACAAAGTTTTCATAGCTCTTTCTAGCCCTAAGCCTACGCAGTGCTGTAGGACTTAATTCATTCAATACTACTGCTAGGCTGTTCTAGACACTAGATATAAAAGTCCCATATAAGTGGAGCTTATACTGTACTGGAGAAGTGTATCAACCAATAAATGCATACGGCTAGTGGCGAATGCTATGAAGAAAAATGGGGGGTAAAGAGAATCTGAGGAGAAAGGTGCATTTAAATAGGAAGTTCAGCAAAATCCTCCCTTAAGAGGCGACTGTGAGCTGATAAGCAGTCCATAAATGCTGTACCTGCAGTATCCAAATGAATTAAATCTTTGTGTGACGGATGGTACAAGGCAAAGAGCTAAAAAAACTCAGCATCATCTGGTCTGGCTCTGCCAAAGAGCCAGAAGTGTTTCCACACTGTCAATCTGCGCAAATGCAGAGATACAGGTACGGAATTTCTGTTCGATTCACTACTTAAACACGGACTGTGGAATGAGCGAATTTTTTGCCCAGCTCACATGCTCAGGATTCAGAGAGGCTTGACAGCCTGCCGGTTACCTCGGAGATCGCCCTGTTCGGGTGTCTTGACGGTATCCGGCACCTGGCGGCCGAGCCCCGGCTTTCGGGCTTCACTTCCACTGCGCCCGCAGCCCCCGGACCGCCGCGTCCGTCCACACTCACCTATGGGCTTGTCCAACCTCATGAGGCGCAGGTAGGGCTGCAGAGGGCGGGGTGCCGAGTTCACGATCGCCGCCGCAGGCAGGCTCGGCCGCCGCTCGAGCGGACCCCGCCCGGCTGAGGGCCGCCAGTCTCCCGCGTGGAGCCCACGGGCCGCGTGCGGCAAGGTGAGGGAGCGGCCGCGCGAGCCCCACAGCCACACCTGCGTCCCTGCCCGCAGGCCCTGCACGAGCCCCGTACCCGACGCGCCCAGCATGGCGCTCCGGAGAGCGCGGACCCGCGGGGGCCTGACGTCATTCCCGAGCGTCCGGTCACAGGCAGGCATGCGCAGTGACGTCACAGGATGACCGGGTGGTCGGAGCTTTTCGAGTAATGTGAAACGGGAAGGATTGCGGGCAACTTGACCTGTAAGGGAGTTCTTCAGGTAAAGGAGTTCCTATTATCAAAATACGTAGCAGTTGTAACAGGAAAACAAAAAACAAACAAAAAAAACACCGAGAAAAACTTACTGAACCCAAAATACTGATTTGAGTTGTTTCCTTTTTAAAGCTAAAAGGGCACCAAGCGGCCAAATCCGAGAATGTACATTAAAATCGTACTCCGAGTTAACAGACATGCATTACACAAGTGAAAACCTTAAACTAGATTATCAATTCAAAGCAGTTCGTATAATCCAGAGGCAGCGAGTGTGTGGGATGCTATGAGCCTGTAGCTAGAATATCTGATCGAAGGGGTTAATCATAGCCAACTAATGGATAGCGCTCTGTGCCAGGCACGGTTACAGGCACTTTACATGTATTATCCCATTTAATCACTTACTGACTGACTGTGGGCAAGTCTCTCATTTGAATTTGAGTATTCTAGGGAATTGAGTTAGTCTTTCAGCACCTTTCTTTAAAACCTCAACAGTGATTCTGTGATATCTTGTCTCCAGTGGTGGTGGCAACGGGGTGGTCCTTAATAAATTTACAAAAGTAGCTCACAGCCTGTTCAGTTGTAGACAGAGGAATCAAGGCCCTGGGAAATTTCGTTTTATATTTGTAAAGGAAAACACACACTTCCTCCTGTCCGCGTTTGCTCTCAGTATTCTACCACAACACTACTTGGCTTGTGACACCAGACGTGTGGATTTTCCACACATCAAGAAACTCTGCGACCCCTGAGTGTCCTATAACTTTACTCAATTCTGTCACTATCTATCTGGAGTTTGCATCAGAGCCCAGAGGTTGCAGGCTCAGTTCTGTAAGCTTGCTGACCCCCACTTCAGAAGCCCATCACAGGTCCAGCTTATTGGGGCTTCCCTGGTGGCACAGTCGTTAGGAATCCGCCTGCCAATGCAGGGGACACAGGTTTGAGCCCTGGCCCGGGAAGATCCCATGTGCTGTGGAGCAACTAAGCCCGTGTGCCACAACTACTGAGCCTGTGCTCTAGAGCCCGTGAGCCACAACTACTGAGCCTGTGTGCTGCAACTACTGAAGCCTATGCGCCTAGAGCCTGTGCTCCGCAACAAGAGAAGCCACCATAATGAGAAGCCCACGTACCGCAAAAAAAAAAAAAAAAAAAAAAAAATCTCCATGTCAAAGAGACACATTTTGGGGTGACAAATTTTTGCTTCCCTACACTGGCTATAGATCAGAGGTTCCCAAGACCCCTTCCTTGGGTTTGATTAATTTGCCAGTGTGACTCACAGAACTTAGGAAAACATTTCACTTACCTAATTATCAGTTTTTTATAAAAGGACATAACTCAGGAACAGTCAGATTGAGCAGATAAATAGGGCAAGGTATGTGGGAAAGAGCACAGAGCTTCCATGCCTTTTCTATACATGCACCACTCTCCCCTCACCTCCGCTTATTTCCCAACCCTGAAGCTCTCTGAACCCTGTCCTTCTGGGGTTTTATGGAGACATCATTACATAGGCATGATGTATGAAATCATTGGCCATTGGTGATTGAACTCAATCTCTAGTCCTTCTCCCCTCCCTGGAGATCTGAGTGGGGCTAAAAGTTCCAACCCACTAATCAGGTTGTTGGTTCCTCTGGCAACCAGCCCCCATTCTTTGGGACTTTACAAAAGTCCCCTCATTAGTATAAACTCTGGTGCGCTCAAAGGGGGCTCCTTATGAATGAGAAAAGACACCACTCAGGAAATTCCAAGGGTTTTAGGAACTTTGTGCCAGGAACTAGAGACAAAAACTAAATATTTTTCTTATATGGCAATATTATATAAATATACAAATATTCATAAATATATATCCATATATAAATGTTATATATACATACATATGTATATGTATATAGGAGTCAGAAGGGGACTTAAAGGTATAGCAATTCTAGTCCTAATAGAAACTTTCCCTGCATAAACTTCTTCCTTTCTTAAAGTAACAGACAGACTAACAGGCAGATGTTTTCAATCAGGTCCCTAGACTCAGCTTAGGATATTTTATGTGAAAATAAGAGACGTGCTCCAAGGCTGAGACAGAGCAGTAGCATCCTGAAGCTTACTTGTTCCAGCTGACTTTGCAACTTACTCTTTCAGAAGTTGGAAACAGATGAGCTCACTTTTAAGGACACAGAACTGGAGGGCAGTGATAAACAGTAACCCAGAGACACCACTCTTCTGCAGCCAAAACAAATAGACTCACATCAGATAAGCACTTCAGTTAAAGATTTGTATGCCTGCCTCTGGGGATGTGGAAAGTTCTAAAGTGGCAGCCCTTGCTGATCCAGCCTTCTGGCATGGACTTTTCCTACTTATCCTCCCCCAGTTATAAACATTACAGTATTTTTCTGGTTGGGATCTGCTACAGAGAGGCAGGAATTCTTGCAACCCTGATTCAAGGGAGGACTATAAAGAGCTCCTGAGGCTGCATTGGCCTTAGGATAAGAGTACTCTTTGGGGATATGGGTCTTCATAGGATGTCTTGTGTGGCTGGGGGACAGGTAAGAGGTTTAGGCCAAGGGTCAGCATTGTTGGAGGGGGTCTCCTGATCACACAGCCATCCTCCTCCATATGTTTGTTAAATTAATTAAACGAGGAGAACGTTAGACTGATGTGATTCTATGCTGTGGCAGCCTAAATAAGCAAACCCAAATCTAAGTTTGTAACTGCCTCAAGGTTAGGAAATCAGAGTGCTAAGGAAAACTAGTCACAAATAGCCAACTAGGCTTTAAGCTATAGCCAATCAAATAATTTCTTTTACTTTGCTTCACACTTTCTTCATATATCTTTTCCCTGGCTCCTGTCTGAGGTGTGTTCCTAACCATTTCCAGTTTGGTTCTGGACCGTTTGAATAGATAAATGTTCAAATAAACTCTTAAATAAACTCAGTTTACCTTTTAACAGTTTCGATGTCTTTTCATCTGGATTCTCAAACTCAACAAAGACATCTCAGACTTAAATTCAGTAGACATTGCCTTGGCCTTTGGAACAATGTGTTTCTGTAGGCATATCAAACACTTAAATTGTCCCCAAAGTAGAAATTATCTATGTGATGTGATTCTTAGTTATACTTCTTAGAAGCATGTCAGTGTGTATTTCTATAGATTTGAGGGAAATATCCCACCTTTTCCTTAGCTTTTCATCATTTTAAGGAGATTTAAATGAGGAATAAGAATAGTGTATGTGGTCCTATCTCTGATGAATGGAACTCAGGGGAGACACAGAGAAAACATGAACTTCCAGAGTAGCCAGACCTTGCTCTGCAGCTTGATGCAGAAATACTAGTCCTAGACCTTGTCCTGCCATTGTCACCCTCAATGGGAGTGCCTCTTCTAGCTGGGAGCTGGGCCTCTGGAGCTGGGCCTCTTCTAGCTCCCTTGGTGGGCTCATTACTGTAGAGCAATCATCAGACTTGCCATCAGAGTGCTTTTTGTGCTTGGTGGGGAAAAGAGCCTTGGAACTGGATTTTGTGGGGAGCTGCAGATGAAGGCTAAGTTTCTGAGTCTGTTATTTTGTTTGAGCATACTCTCTAACCTGAAACTTAAATGAGAACAGCATCTGCCCATAACCACTGCCATGACTTTTGGAATTGTAGACAGTCCTCCTGAAACTGATAGATGTGGTATCAGGGGGCTCTGAAGAGCCCAGTCCTTGATGTTTCAATGCAGAAAGAATTCAGCAAGAGGCAAAGTGAGAGATAAGTGATTTATTAGAATATGATGCTTGTGAGGCTTACAAGCGGGCGGGCGAGAGGGTGCCACACCCCGAGAACTTAGTGGGCTGCAGTTTTATAATCAAAGGAAAAGTGGGGAGGGGGAAAAGACCACTTTCTTCTTCTTCTTTTTTTTTTTTTTGGTGCTACGGACACACAGCCTCAGCAGCCATGGCTCACGGGCCCAGCCGCTCCGTGGCATGTGGGATCTTCCCGGACCGGGGCACGAACCCGTGTCCCCTGCATCGGCAGGCGGACTCTCAACCACTGTGCCACCAGGGAAGCCCTCTTCTTCATTTCTGAGTAGACGTCATGCTTCCATCATCAGCTCCTCCTCCAGGTTGGGCAGGGGAGTTTTTTTGTCCCTACATCGTCAAGCCAGGACTGTAAAAAAGTATTTCAGGTCTCTGTACAATGAGCACCTTTCTATAAATTATTGTTTTTTATGTGTGCAGAGAGCATGTCCTAGGGATCATTAACTTACTGAGCTCACTGGGCAGGATGTGGGTCTCATTCCACCATTGTTTTATTGTTTCGGGGCATGTCTCATGCTTCTGTTGCCTGGTTTTGTTGCTAAGCAAGCCTGCTTGGTTTTGTGGTTAAGCAAACCTGCTTTCTTGAGTAATCATTAACTTACAGGGGTCTCCCATATTTTTTCTGCTTACAATCCCCTAGTGGGATTGATTAACTATTTAATCACCTGCTTTGTCCCTTTATTCTGTCCCTATCATTCCCCCCTCCAGGTGTTTACCATTTTATGCTTAAAAGGGAGTAAGGGGTGACAACTGATCATTAGCTGCTTCCTGC